ACCCCCCCCCCCCGGCTGCTGAAGCCCCCTGCCTCCCTGAGACCCACTCACCCAGCTGCTGATACCCCTCATCTTTCCGAGACCCACCCACCTGCTAACCCCCCCCCCGCAAACCTCCCCAAGAGAAGGGCTTTTAATGGGTTAAATACAACAGTGGCTTTCCAGTCAGGCCCATGTGTCTGTTCATTTCATAGTCAGGGCTACTGATTTTACACCGCTGCCACACACTGAAAGCACAGAATGGCCATCGGAGCAGTTGTCGGGGGAGGGAGCAGGTGGCGTTTTGGGCAGTGAAGCAAAATGCATAGACACAGCTTGGACTTATGGGCTCAGTCCATGTAGCTGGATGGTTCTGCTAAAACACGCAGCAGTGACACAGCTAACCACGGGGAGTAATCATTAGGTTTCAGGGTCAATATTACAGTGACAGGCAAGAAAATAGCGGACACCTCTCACAAGTCGTGTTTCAGGCTGGCGGCAGACAACACTGCATGGATTACATGGGGCGAAAGGCAGAGCTTTTTCTTCCCAACCATAAATAGTTGGAAATGTAATTTTTAAAAATTAACTCAGGTGAACTGGATACAGGGAGGGGCCAGCGGGTCGAGGGGTCGGCCGGGATCCTGGGGCAGCGCCGCGTGTACGTCGGGAGCCCAGGGCCGGGCCAGCGGGTCGAGGGGTGGGCCGGGATCACGGGGCAGCGCCGCGTGTACGCCGGGAGCCCAGGGCCTGGCCAGCGGGTCGAGGGGTGGGCCGGGATCACGGGGCAGCGCCGTGTGTACGCCGGGAGCCCAGGGCCTGGCCAGCGGGTCGAGGGGTGGGCCGTGATCACGGGGCAGCGCCGTGTGTACGTCGGGAGCCCAGGGCCGGGCCAGCGGGTCGAGGGGTGGGCCGGGATCCTGGGGCAGCGCTGTGTGTATGTCGGGAGCCCAGGGCCTGGCCAGCGGGGTGAACCAGGATCGTGGGGGGGGGATCAGCAGTGCTGCATAGAGGGAGCCCGGCCCGACAAAAGCAGGGGGCTGTGGGGTAGGACGGACTGACCGGTGTGGGGACCTCACTAAGGGGCATCGCCGGGCAGGGGCAGAGCTTTGCAGCAGAGGGGTGCTGAGGAGCCAGTGCAAGTTACATGGGTAGCGCTGTGGGCTCTCTGCCTCCAGTCCCTGCAGCTGCCTGCGGGCAAGACAACTGCTAACTCACTCGGCACTAGAAAGCAGCGGGGCCCATGCTGAAACCACAGAGGCACTGCCTCTCTCGAGCCCTGCCCAGAAGCGGGCTCCAGGGAAAGCCCCCAGCCACGCTGAGCTGGTAAATTTTAGGAGATTGTTCGGTTATTTATTGCTTACAAAGGACATAAAGCAAATCACGCAGACTAAGATCTTACAGAGACTGTCCCTAAACCTCTGACTGGCAGAAGCTGGGAATGGGCGACAGGGGATGGATCACTTGATGATTCCCTGTTCTGTTCCTTCCCTGTGGGGCACCTGGCACTGTCCACTGTCAGAAGACATGAAACTGGGCTAGATGGACCTTCGGTCTGACCGAATATGTCCGTTCTTCTATTCTTAGATTCCTCTGCATGCTAGCCCCTCTCCCCCGTATTTAGCGCTGCGCCAGCCTCGAGCTGCTGCAAGTTTTATCAACAGTGATTTTAGATGCACTTCCAGCTTGTTGAGGAAAATGCTGAGTAGGGTCAGGAGTGGCATCGCTCGCTGCAGAAACCCACTGGAAACACCCGCATTGGATAGTGAAACCCCACCAACTTCATCAGATCTAGCAGCTCCATTTAACATCTACTTTACTGATACTGGAGAGGGCTAAATTGTTAGTGATAATCTGAGCAATACGAGTTTAAGAAGAATGCAGGAAACTCCACCCCCGCATCTTCCATGGGAAATGAAAACCCTCAGAGGCTGGATTTCTGCATCAAAATATTTACAACTCGGATCAATTTTCAGTAAGGGCAGTTACACAAATACTAAGTCAGGGGTCGGCACCCTTTCAGAAGTGGCGTGCCAAGTCGTCATTTATTCACTCTGATTTAAGGTTTCGAGTGCCAGTCATACATTTTAACGATTTTAGAAGGTCTCTTTCTATAAGTCTATAATATATAACAAAACTATTGTTGTATATAAAGTAAATAAGGTTTTTAAAATGTTTAAGAAGCTTCATTTAAAATTAAATTAAAATGCAGAACCCCCCGGACCGGTGGCCAGGACCCAGGCAGTGTGAGTGCCAGTGAAAATCAGCTCGCGTGCCGCCTTCGGCATGCGTGCCCTAGGTTGCCTACCCCTGGACTAAGTATTACAGGGGGAGGGGACGGGTTTAGCCTGGTTCAAAGGGAGAGAACTAGCCCAGCAATGGGAAATACAGGATTAATATCAGAAACATCAAACAGACTGAGGACTAATCCCCCACAGACCAAGGTGGAAGCGCCATTGCTTGAACAGAATATCTAGTCCTTTTGAGGGTCGTGCCTCCCCTCCTCCTGTCCACGCCCCCCTGGAGCCAGGGCTAGGAGTGGGGCTGTGACTTGGGGGGGATGGGGACAGGGGCAAGGGGGCCCAGGGCCGGGTGGGAAGCCAGCCCAGGGATGGGGCCCCTAGGGGGGCACACCCCACAGTTTGGGGACCTCTGATTAAGCACTTACAACAGAATGCAGGGAACCAGCCTGCATGGGGAATGGAACCAGGTGACCCAACTGGCCCTTTCCACCTCCCCTTTCTATCATCACCGTCAGCTGCTGCCTTGCAAGTCCTGGTGGAAAGAGCGACTGAGATCCCTGCCCTAGAGCTGGGGGCTGGGAATCTGGGCTCCTGGCTTCTTTTCTCAGCTCTGCCATGGCAAGCATCGACCCTGGGCAAGTTGCGGCTTCTCTGGCTCAGTTTCCCCATCTATAAGAGGAGGATAATACCTATAGGGGGTCACGAGGCTTACCGTGTAGACCGACTACTGGCAGCTAAGACGAGTGGCATGTGTGCCTGTATTTTGGATTTGCTTCTGCTTGTACAAGAGAGTGGAAAGAAGGGGAAGTCGTGAGTGCATAACGGCATGGCAGAGGCACAGCAGCTGGGGCCCCGCCGCAGGAATTCGGTCGTGACACGAATCTGTTCTATTGCTGGTGTAGAGTTGGCAGGGGATAAATTCTCTCTCTCCCGCCTGAGACGCCCCATCTCCCTCCCTCGTTGCAGTGTGTTCTCCAGTGGATTGTCCAGGCCCTGCTGTGCTAGGGCTTCCACCATTTCCTAGGGGAGATATTCCACAATGTCGCCACTCGCGTCCTTTCCCTTACGGACTCTTAAGTTTCCTGTTACTCATTTGCATTTCCAGTTCCATGCCCTGGAGTCGCCCCCAGCAGTTCCTCTCCCCCGCTGGTTTTTATACACTACAAATATTTATACGTGTTCTCCCCTTAATTAGCTCAACTGCAATTTAAATTCCATTCTTTGAAAGTCAATGGCTCCTGCCTCTTATCCAGCTCCATCTCCCTTCTCCAAACTCCGACCGGCTTCCAGTAAGAAGAAACCGCGAGAAAACAGGCGGTGTTCCAAGTGCCATTGGGATGTCATGAAAGAGGAATGGGGATCCTGGTGCAATCCTTCTGAAAACAGAGCCCTGAATTAGTCTGGCTTTTCCCTGTCATGCTACTGCTGACCCTTCACAGAGCAAACGAGCTTACTGCCCACTACCACCATCCCATTACTGCTTTCCTCTTCTGCACGAGGCCCCATGAAGTAAGATGAAAGGCTGTGGCTTGCGTAGACCCCAGATGAGTCGAGTGGTCACTTCACGTAGCTATGGAATACTTCACTAGTTTCCACCCGTTATGCCCACACACTAATAACCCCTGAGGGTAGGACAAGAAGCAATGGGCTTAAATTGCAGCAAGGGAGATTTAGGTTGGACATTAGGAAAAACTTCCTGTCTGGGTTGTTTAGCACTGGAATAAATTGCCTAGGGACGTTGTGGAATCTCCATCATTGGAGATTTTTAAGAGCAGATTAGACAAACACGTGCCAGGGACGGTCTAGATAATACTCAGTCCTGCCTTGAGTGCAGGGAACTGGACTAGACTAGATGACCTCTTGAGGTCCCTTCCAGCCCTATAGTTTCTATGTTCCTAATGCTTCATGCCGTCCAGTCACTGTGTCAGGAACTGGAACCGGGTTAATCATCCTCCAGAAAAAGGCTCCTGCTGCTCACTGCTCACGGGTCTGTTACAGAGCTATTTAGGGGTGTGTACATAGGAGGTTTCATTACCTCCTGTACGGTAGCTCTACCTTCCACCGTTTGTAAGTAGCACAATCACTCGTTTAGTAGCAGCACAGCTGCTCTTCCCCAAATCCTCTGGCTCTTCTCCAGTGCCTGCGAGACTTTTCAAGAGTCATGGTTAGGAGCAGAGGTGC